CAGGTTTCCTAACCATTTTCTTCTATTAACTATGGCTAGACTTATTAGCGAAGCTCTGGCAGCCCGAAGGCCCCCAAGCGGAGCACCATACCCATATAGGAAAGGAATGTAAACCCACAAATTGATTTTCTCATGGTTATCATGGCTAGGGGTATTGCTCGTGGGCGCGCACGCACGACGAGGACGACGTTGCGCAACATGGCGGTCATACTCCAATTGACCGAGACATGCAGCCTTGGTTTACGGCGTACATCTTTGATATTGGACATCCATGTTATGGTCAATTGACACCTGTCAAAATAAGGTATCCGTTGACCAGTATCACGTGACCATATTGAGAGCTCAAGCTTAGAGCTCATCGAGGTCACGTGTTTTTTAAAGTTGACCGCTGACAAAGTACTGGTTTTTCGATTGACAGCAAACCTCACCGCAAGGTCACAAAACTCAAATCAAAATTCTCGCTTATCCTGGGTTAGCTTATTCGGGCTTTCAAAAATCCGGCCCAGAAAACTCAAAGCACAAGATCACAAAACTCAAAGCAAAATTCTCGCTTATCCTGGGTTAAAGCGGTTAGCTTATTCGGGATTTAAACAATATGGCCCAGAAGCTCCGCTTTTAGGCTTGGTTGAATCTCTATACTAGGGTATCTAAAAGATAGTGATGCTGCGGCACATTCTGTTTTATGTCCAAACACAGTTCAGATCACTACGTGCTTTTGTCCCGATCCTTTGTCACACCTCGACATCGATGCGTCATCATGCATGAGATAGTGATCTGAACTATATTTAGACATACCAAGGGGGCGAGACTGCCATAAGAAATGACATGCTAAGTTTAAAATTGAGATGTCACAATTTATCGTCCAGAACTACAAACTATCAAATACTGCTTTAAAAACAAAAGCAGGAGTTGTAAAAGTCAAGCACGATCTCCTTCACATCGTTTTACAGGTAAATCAGAGCAAAACACAACCACTAACATTTCCTTCATTTAGTCAGTGTGACGTTATCTGTAGTAAATTACTACGACATATTTACACAGCGTTCAAAATTACCTTCAACAGAAGCTATTAAACCGGCAACGAGCTAAGGGAGTCAGAATCACTAAAATAGAAACTAGGTAAGGATAAGACCGATTGCGAGCAGCGAAACATTAAGAAACTCGGGTATCACGACACATCGCTTGGCCCGGCACCTTTGTCCCGAGGTTTTATGGGGAGCAGGGATGGCGCAGTGATGAAAGCGCTCGCTTCCCACCGATGTGTCCCGGGTTCAATTCTGGCCGGGTGCCATATGATGGTTGAATTTGTTGTTGGTTCACGCCTTACTCCGAGGGTTTTTCTCCAAGTACTTCCGTTTTCCTCCCTCCACAAAAACCAACACTTAAAATTTCAATTCGACCAGGATAGAGGACCTGCGATTGGTTTGAACACGTCACGTGATGTAACCGATACTGGGAAATCTCAATTTGGAGCGAAAACGCCGGCGGACCTGTTTGAAAAGCGAACAGTTCGACTGTCGGGACAGTGGCAAAGATCCAAGCATATTCCCGCGTCAAATTGATGCTGTTGTCTATTGTCAGGCGCGCCATCTGATTGGCTACCCTGGCTCCTGGGTGGGGGTAAGCGAAAAGCGCGGGAAAAAGATAATATATTTTTCTTTCGCTGTTCTCCAATCAACCGAGAGATTGGCTTGCGGAATCTTAAGCTTGTCAATCATTTAAAAGTGCTTTTTGTGAAGTTTCTGAAATAATATTAAAGGAGCTACGTCATGGTTTGGCATCTTGAAAAGTTTAGCCTAAATTTTTCAAGTTCGTCGTTTGTAATCCGTGTTAATCTTCTCCATCCTTCACCATACTTGTTCCTTTATGGTTTATTATTACCGCTTTGGTGTTTTTCTATCTGAGTAAACTACTATTTTCAGGTTTTAAGGTAATTTTGTTCGTGAACCAAAATAACTCGTAATGCTGTGACTGAGCTCCTTTTATCCGGTTAAAGATTTTACAGTTTAGTTAGCGATACTTCAAGTTACCAGCTACGAGACCTGAGTTCTCAGTTACTTTAAAGTTACCCAGGTAATGCCATTCAGAGACTTTCAATAAAGTAATCAAATCATTACAAATAAAAATAATCGCAATGAAAAATAAACTCGGGGGTTATAGTGACATGCACTAAGCTTTGTACTTTTGTATCAAAATGGTTCTTTTTCAAGCTCGAATCCCAGACAGGAAATTCAAAACAAAATTGATTTCAACAAAAAATAACAATTTTTTTTCACGTATAAACGAGTAAACAGATTCGAAATGAAAAGATGGCAACAACCAATAATAAGTAAAAACATATTTTTGTTAACAAAAAAAAGGTTACTTAGTTAAAAACACGTGACACATGATAACCTTTCTAGAAAAATGAATAGTTAATGGTTGCAGATCATGGTTGGTTGTTCGCTGAGCAAAGCTGATGAAGCAAGCTGTTACTTTACCAGATTAATAATTAATTAATAGCCGTGAACATTTGAGCATTCGAGTGATAAACAGTGAACACAAATGAATGCAAAAGTGTGCGGGCAAATTACACCAAGAAATTGCACGAAAAGGTTAAGTAAAGTTTGATCTTTCAAACTGCCACTTTACCCTCTAACCAGATCAAGCTAAGCTAATGTTTTGTCGCGCTTTTCGCCTCCATCAACGTAAAAACCGCCACCTGTGATAAAGGGCCAACGATCAAAACGTCCGATGCTTTAACTCAAAATGCCGCTTAAGTTTACAATGCCATGTTAGTAACACACAATGCATTAACAACTACAAATCTAACCCAAGCAAAGCTGGCGGAGCCAAATCGTTTCTTTTCTAAGAAACATCTACTTGTGTAGACAAATTGAAAGACACTGTAATATTACAAACGCTAAACAACTGAAGTGAAGCCCAATCTAGTGCCGTGTTCACAGTGCAAAGGAAAATAAAGTTCTTCGCAGATGCGCTGCTAGATTTTATGAATTTTAGCGCCCGAGAAAACATTCTAACATCAACTCATAACCTTGGTTGGTACGTTCGTGTGACTGAGTGGCTGGCTGACAAATGAACCCCACAAACTCCAACAAATAACCCCACATAAATAGAGATAAGCATTTTTGCGAAATTCAACACCCATGCATGTATCATAAAATATCTGTACAACCAAGGTAAATTCCTAATAATAATTTCTCCAATTGTCAATTTATAATAAATGCAGTTTATAACAAAAACCGCGTTAGCGAAATATGCTAAAAACATCTAACTTAATTCGTCATTTTGGCAGAAGAATTCTTGTTAATCTAAAGCAGACAAATACATTGATCTTGAAATATGAGTTATGTCACACCTTTTGGCGAAAGATCGTCTGTTTCTGTGTGGACAAGCAAAATAAGTTATTTCAAACATCTAAGTTAATCGCCTTTTAATACAGAACGTTCAGTCGATCAAAACGAACTCACTTCTTTCATGCGGTAATTGTAACTTTTACGTCTGTGAATGAAGCCGTCAGCTTGTGTGCGGTCATTCAAACGAAAGCTGCTGAGCAGTAAACTTTCATGTACTGAATTTTAAAAGCATGCTCTACAACATTCAATCTGTGGATGAAACCCCAGTGTGTGACTATTCTAATGAAAGCTATTGAGCAGTACTTTCATGTAGTACTTGTTTTTTTGTTTTGTTTTTTTTTTTACTGTTAATTACGCGGTACAAGGTGGTTCTAACTTTCAAGTTTGTGGATGAAACCCTGGTGTATGACCACTCAGATGAAAGCTATCAAGCAGTACTTTCATGTGGTACTGTTTAATGTGCTGCACAAGGTGGTTCTAACTTTTAAGTTTCTGGATGAAAGCCTAGTGTGTGACCATTCAAATGAAAGCTATTGAGCAGTACTTTCATGTGGTACTGTTTACGACGCTTTGCCAAGCGCGTCTAACGTTTACCTCTGATCGAGGATAAAATCTCACTGTGTGATGACTTAAATAAGAGCTGTTGAGTAGTGGTACTCTCTGGTATTTAACATGTGTTATTTTACAAAATATATTAACCTTTATTTTAGTTTTGAGCCTAACAGTACCATGAGGAGGTTTTACCTGCTCCTGTTCTGCTCCCATCAAGTGGCGATGCGCATGCGCTATCTTCAGGGCTCTCGTACCAGTTATCCAGCGGATACAGGACAGTGTCTGGATTCTCCACAGGTTGTAGTGAGTGGCGTATAATCGAGCGCAGCCTCTCATTATGTTTGATTTCTGAAAGGTGTAACGAAGAATATTGTTGTCATTGTCTGGGAGAGGGATATCCGCTCGAGGAAGACAAAATTACGTATGGGGGTGAAAAGCAAAAGGAGCAGAGGAATAGAGAAAAAAAAAGGAAAATGGGTGTACACAGCAAGGGTAAAGAATTAACTGTACAATAGGGTGTAAAGAGGACTATGGTGGATTGGGAAGAAGAGGAAAGGCATACAAAGAGAAGTATTAGGGGTTGAAGAATGAATTTAAAGTACAATGGGGGAAGGTTTACAGGATATTGTTACAGCTTAATGAGTATAAGAAGGGTTCTTGAATGAATTTAAAACGTGTTGGGTTTGCCATTGCGGTGATTTCGATTCATAGGCCAATCAGTTTGAAATCGAAATCAAGATTTGGCACGCAACCTTTCCCAAATTTCCACCACGTAACATAATTTCTTTTTGACATGTGTGCGTCACAAGCCGCACAAAATTCCACCAAGGTGAAAATAAGAAAAAAAAATGAAGAGATTTCAGGCGTAAGTCCAAAGTATTCTAGAACTGAATTTTATTCGATGCAATATAAATGCCAAGCATAACAAACACATCAGGTAATAAACATTTGGCACAAACTCTAAACGCAAGTTTATAGCAAAATTATTCGGGAGAGGTTTTGCAGTTGGATGGGGTGTGTGTGTGTGTGGGGAGGTGAGCGGGGATGGTGGGGATACTCTCAGAAAAATTAGGTGGGGGTGTGCAGCTCGCTTCCCAAAACCCTTGCTATTTAGGACCAATATCACGATTTTCTCTAGTTCTACAGTGGAAAATATTTTACCTGACACAAAGTTCCCAGTAGCAGAAAAGACGAACTCCACTTTACATTCATCAGGAAATCTTCTGTCTGTTGGATAAATTGCACACAGAATAGTAAGGCGTAAAAGTCAAACGTTGGCAACTACTGAATCTACTTACTGATTGTGTGATATTCTGATGATGCTGAATCTAAGGCCCCGTCCATATTGTGCCAGAGAAATTTGAAAACACAGCTTTCTTTCTAGGGTTAAGCCTTTCGTCCACACCAATTCGTCACGAAAACGGAGCTTTCCGAAAACGCCCTTGAAACCGGAAGAATTTGTAACCGCCAGCTTTTCGTTTTCGTGTGGACGTGAAACATATTGAAAGCGGAGCCTTTCGAAAATGATGGCGTCACGATAACCATGTGACTGAGTTTTCCTGGAACACAAATCCAAAATGACCGGTGATTGTTGCGTTTTTAAATTCCTCCAGCGTAGTGTGGACATGGCCTAAGAATCTTGGTGTTACAGCAGGACGTTCTTTAGCAATGAAGGAATGTTTCACGCAAATAAAAAATTATTCTGCTGCAACGAATCTACAGTAGAACATATTAAAGAAATGCCTTAGAATAGAGATATAAAGATCACCAACTTTGTACTAGCTTTTTCCATTGCTTTTCCAGTAAAAAATCAAATTAAATTTGAGGTCGCTACTTCCGAAGGGTCACTACTTTTGGGATTTGCTAACAACCGCGCAAATGTTATCGCTATATTCGGGACTTCACGGTGTTTCATCTATTCGTAACACATTTGATCTTCCGTGGAGGACAAACCTTTGCAAGCGTCATCCAGTTCTGTCTTGTCTAACACTAGGCCACGGTCTTTAATTGCACCTGTGTGGAATTGACATCTATATATGATATCACGGCCAGATGACAGCGTGTTCTTGTGATAACACTTGATCTGTAAAAAGAGATCACTACATAAAATTCAAACTGTTCAGTCACTTAAATACAAATGCAGGTATACAAAGTAAACGTTAGGTCTTACAAACTCGTGAAAAGCGAGTTATAAATTATATTCTCATCTAGAGAATTAAAGTTACAAACGACCTGCACGTCCACAAAAGTTTAAATTCAAATTTCAATTCAGTTAAATTTAAATGAATCCTAATGTAAACTGGTAGAGCTCAATATATATATTTTTTTGTCATTCCAAACACTGCTTGTTCAAACGGCTAGAAAAAGCTGAAGCCTGAGCTAAAAATGAAATTACCAGAACGTCTCCATGAAGTATCAGCCCTCCTTCAATGGTGATGCAAACTCTCTCCATATCTTGTGTTACATGGCTGAAATCAATACAAACCCGCAGATTAGAAACGTTGCAGCAATGCAATGAGACTCGTATTGTACTGTGCTTTAACAGAAATGAAGGAAATATTTCCAGCATTTGTAAATTTAATAAAGTTTTGAGCAAAAACGTCTTCTTCGTCAACATCGACTTTAAAAGGCACAATTTGACGTTAAAAGATTAATGATGGAGTGTGTAGAACAGTACTTACAAAACTCCTGACGTATAAATGAGTTTGAGTCCATCATACACCCGTAAGAATGGCTTACAACCTAAATACAATAAAAAAAAGTTTCAATATGAGTATATACCGCTTGTTCAAATGACCAATATACCTCATTACTCCTGTTTATTTTCATGTAAAAGAACTTGGAGACGCAGTGATCTTGTAATAGAAAGTTTAAGAAAAACCACAACGGCAACGGGAACGTCGCTATACAAAAGGTCTAATGAACAGAACAATGGCTATGCACGTGCGTTATAATATTCTTGGTACATTTCTTTGTCTTCCTCTGCAAAAAAAAAAACGTGAAATGTCGAAATTCTGCGTTGTCTGGCGAGTGTTAACCATAACGACCAATTTTTTTAGATGTCTATTTCGAATTTTTTGCTGGGTTCCATACTCAGTTTCGAGATAGTTTTGACAGAGAGAAACAAACTAAATAACTTAAGAGTATCGCGAGATTCGTAGGTAAAATATAAATTCATTTTTTAATCAACGTTGTCCTCGGCGTCGCCGTCGTAGTTATTTAACCTCCCTAGTATAACTGGCGAGTTAAGCATAAACTTGTTTGTCTTCAGGTTGTTCAAAAACCTGGGATGCGTTACGTTCTTGGGTAACACGTTAATCTAACAGGACCTCACTCCACTGTTTAAAAAAACAACTTGACTCTCTTACCATCTCGAGTATCAAAACTGGGAATTCCATGGATAATAACATGATGAAGAAATATAGGGCTGAAAGAAAGAGGTGAAACACAATTGTAGAGGGTCTCAGATGTAAAGAAAGACCTTCGTAGGACCTTCTTGCCAGGGTGTATTCTACTGCTTATCATGAAGCGCAAAACTGTGTACAGTGAAACCTCTGTTAAGCGGACCCCCAAATAAGTGGACACCCTCTATTAAGAGGACACCGCACTGAATTGACAACGTGAGCTGGCTCCCTTGATGCCCCAGGATCTGAGTGATCTTGAATCACAGATCCTGATCCAGATCACCCCAAAGGAATGCACCCTAAGAGGAGACCATTCACTGACAACTGTTATGGATTATTGATTCCTAGTAGGGTGTGGATGAAATTGTTATTAATAGTCATTGGTCAGGAGTTTCATGATAAAATAAATTTAAAAAACTTACTCTGTGTTGAGTTTGACCTTTCCATCGAGGTAATCACTGAAATAGTGCACGTATCTGACAACAATAACAATCAGTATATTGATCAGTATATTACAACAGTTTAACATTATAACTAACTTGAAATGGGAAATATCCTGTCCACAAAGCAAACTATGCACAAACTTAATCCTCGTGAAGAAAATGTCTCAAATTATGATCAAAATTTTGTCAAGAAGTACCGTATATGAACCATACAGAGTTCAGTAACGAGAATATAATTTGTACACTGAAATCAGGACTTATGGATTATTTAATATGTGATTTACTAGCAAACCTTCTCTGTGATGGTTGTGTGACTCCTCCCAAGCTGTCATCATAGAATCTTTTCATAGCAAACCAGTCAAGGGCAGCTTGAGGACTTAAATGTTAAACAAAGAACCAAATTGTGATTTAAAATATCGACCGCAGAACAAGTAATGTGCAAAAATGAATATAAAGACCCTGGCTCCAAACTTTCGTGGAGATCTCACAGATATGGACTGAAGCTACAAGCACTAGTTGCCAGAGGAACAACTATACATTAATAAATGTCAAATCTCTCAGATGTTGAAGATGAAAAATAGCAATTCCATCTAATTGTGTGGGGTTTCTTTACACTTTTTTTGGCTCACTTTTAAGCAAAATTATTTGATAAATGTGCTTACAGTTGAAACATTGAAAACTCAAATGGCTACAGACAGATTGATCAACTGATCTTTTAACTCTTAGGTCAACATGGGAGTATTTTGGTCAATGACGAAATATCGTATCTTTCAACCTGACACAAACAAAGAAGAGATTGAAATACTTCTCTACATAACCTGTAAAATTGTCCAGTCCCTACCTGGAGCATATCTTGCTGAAATGCATGTACGCTGCGATGACAACACCAGTCCTACCTTTCCCTCCCTGAAACAATTGCAAGCAAATTAAAACAGCACTTCTTCTCGATGATTGCCATACAATTCTTTTAAAAAAAGTGCTGAAAATTTGGCAAAACATCAATGCAATATTCTTTAAATACTGTTTTTTTTAGGACGGAAAGCTGAAAGCTGCAAGGAGGCAAAAAACTAGAAAAGAAAGAGGATACCTATAATAGCAAGGGGAGAACCAGCAACAAGCTTAATGCTAGGTTAAAATGAAGCTCATTGCACAATATAGAGACTGGCAAGCTATGGGTCGAGATCTTGCCCAACAGTGGCAATTGTACTGTCCAAAGTGAAATCTGCAAAAAATCTAAATGTAGATTTTAAAAAATTGTTTAAAACAACAAACCTTGCAATGGACAACAACTACATGGTTAGAGTCACTCTTGAGCCATGAATCAATTGATTTAATTATGCTGCAAAACACAACAACAACAAGAACTGAGACTTTTAGTCACAAGAAAATCATATTTAGAGACTAAACTTTAAAAAAAAACACTCAAAATTTAGTTATCTTTTATGTAGTGTAAACAGCACTGCCTGTAGTCTAACTGCTTATTTTATTTTAAAAATATTTCAGCAGGACAGTCACATAGAAGTGTCAAAGTTAGTAGATCTACTGTGAAAAAGAGGGTTGCAAATCAACATGATTCTAGTAATGTAACAGAGTTTGAAGGTTTTGCTTGGGCTAGCAGCAGAGCTATTTTGAAAAATTAATTCTGAAATAACCCCACAAAGGCTTAAAATTTTGCATCTGTGCACCACAAGAAGTTAGGAAAACACATCAATTGTATCTTACCTACACAGTCTCTCTAGCGGTGGAGCCAAGTGGTCTGGCCAACCAAAATCTAACACCTGTACCACAATAAAACAGCTCATGAATCACTATATGTACATGTACCTCTTTGATCGTGCTGTGTCAGCTTTTTATGTAGGATTGAACATAATTAATGACAAGTTAGGCCATTGGTAAATCCTAAACTGATGCTATTGATGACTATCTACAGCTAAAATTCCTCTATTACATGAATGTCATAGGATGGGTAGGAGAAGGGTATAGATGCTAACTTGATACAGTCAAGCCTCCTATGGACACCTTCACCATTCATGCCTACGCTCATAAGAAGTGCCACCCTGTCCATGCAGTCAGTATTAAGTTAAGGACAGTTGAACACGACTGACTGAGCAGACCAGCTCAGAGTTCCCACTAGTTTTTATAGTTAAAGGTCCTTGGGACCCCCAGTTCCAAAGAGTTGGGGGTTCTTTTTCTTTTCAGGGGTCCTTTGCCTATTACTAAAATTTTTGGAACTTTTTTCCTACGTCATTGCCAAAAACTGTGCGTCCTTTTCATTTTTTGTGTGTATAAGACACACACCTGTACATTAATGGGAGCTCTGCTGGCTATAATCAAATCAATCAATCAATCAATCCAACTTAATTCATGTGTCAGAGTACATGTATATAAGAAAATATCTGACCAGAGGCAGACATACAGATCACACAGCCAGTCATCTTCATTTTTTTTTTGGAAAATTTAAACAACATACTATTTATTAGTAAATGAACTCAATCACTCTACCTGGTGATTTAGTTTGGATATGTCATATCTTCTTTCAGATAAATTAAAAACCTGAAACACACAAAAGATAACAGTGCGGTAAAATGATAAATTAAACTGTAGACATATATTACATAGTATGCATTGTCAGAGGGACTGTACTATAAATTTATGAAGGCTAAGCTTGATTTACCGTTACATGCACACCTCACCCAACCCTGTTTGGATCAGGGTATCCAGTTGAGAGTGGCTGGCTAACACCCTGCAAATAAATTTCAGACCAAAGGAACTAGCTTATGCAACCTCCAACCTTGTCCGATCAGCTCTTAGGAGACAAAAGTCAGTTCCAGGCATACATGGGAAATACCTCATTGTCCCAGCTGTCTAGTAAGCTACCTCTCATCCCCACCCATGTCCCAGATGGGTATCACATCTTACCATGTACTTATCCTGATGGTTTGTCTGCAGCATCTTTGCCACTTCTCTCAGGTTATTTCTGTAAGTTGTTTCCAGACCAGATCCAGGAAATGACATTGCTGTATTCCAAAAACAATCGCCAATAATTAGAAACAGTAACAATATGTTGACGAAGTTAAATCCCACTTGAGGCTGGGAATATTTTCATTGCCATTTTCACAACATTTTCACAACATTTTCTTGATAAATTATGTCAGCAAAGTGCTTGGAAAAAAGTTCTTTTATGTCAAATTCAGTCATACCGATTATCCTGTCTGTGATGTAGGTCAAGTCAAGATCAAACTGCTCATCCACATGCCGCACTCTGTTCCTAAAGAAGGACAATGATGTGAAACACAAACGTTGTAAGTGGAACATGATTGATGGGAACACTTTTACCTAATATAATTATTCTTTGAAGCAAATTCTTAGTTTCAAAAAAATTATAATTTTACTGAAAAAAACAGAGATGGTACCTTGAGACTCTGTGTCGAAAAATGTTTGTGACAAGGTTTTTGGGTGATGATGTCACTCGCTGAAAAAATAAACAAATACCCATATTTTTAGGTGTTTGAACTACAGTAGCTTTTACTTAGTAATTAAATAACACCACCACTTGTCCTGTAGCAGCTTCTAAATCTAAGTACAGGTAACTACAGGTATGTATGGTATCCAGTAATCAAATCTTACAATTATTTTTGTACTTGTCTGTAGAAAATTTACAGGTAAATATACGCCAAGCAAAAATATAAAGCTGTCTCATCTATAACTTTGTCTCCGTGTTATTGGGCTCATCTTAAACTGTTAAAGATAACCTGTCACAAATAACTTCACTTTTGACACATATGTTTCAACGATACTCTTTGATCACCTCAAGATTGCATGTTGAATTACATACTTACAGTTTTCCTAACACCACCAACTTCATCATCAGGTAGAGTCTAGAAGGTGACAGAAAAAAAATAACATATGGGGGAATCATGAACATGGTGCTTTGTGCTATTAAAGCAATAAATTAAGCAGGCACAAGCCACTGCCACTATTATCCATTGTTTTTAATCATATCTGCAATCGTTTCACTAATCATGCACCAATCACCCCTAACTGAACTCTCTATGGAGCATACCATAATCCATAGATAATATGTAAAAGTATATTGAGCACAAGTGAAAACTGCCTGTCATGAGTGAGGAGTACTTTTAAGAAATGCAGCTTTTTTTTTTTTTTTTTT